GAGGAACAACCTCTAAAACTAACATTACAGCAATTTGTTTTTTACTTCTTCTTAATAAGGGCAACGAACACATCATGTATTTGACAGTCGTTTCCCGGTATTATCATAAAAGTGCATAATCGTGTTACAATTTCTGATGAGATAGGTTAAATGTGCCCTCTGCTATATACTAAAGTGCTGAAATATCAATTAACCATCACTATTACCATAGGAAATTGAATATACAATCGACCCCGATAACTCGAACCCCCGCTAACTCGAACTGTTTTAACCTCGGGAGATCAGGCCCGATTTTAGCAGTTCTCATACATGATCTCCTCCTACGTAGTCGCGCTAAAATTGGTTTCGCCTTACCCACCGCAATGTTATTTACAAAGAGAAACGAAAATAGAGCCGGGTCGCAGGTTAACTGTTTTTAGTCTCCCTTCTCAGAGTTCGAGGTACCGGGGTTCTACTGTATAGGTGAATCCTTATTGACATTTTTTTGCCTCATTAGCATAGGCTCATCGTCATCGGATGAAGCTAATAACATGAAATTTCTGAATATTGAAAGACCATAACAATTTCAGTTACCTCTGAAAATTTGAACCCGATATACCAGATAATTTCAAAGAAACTCTCTTTTAAAAAGCCCAAAATTTACAAAGAATGTATGAGCTCATCAAGTAATTTTGCAGTTTTTAACTGCTGCTTTTTTCTTTCTTACTGATTGCAAGGAGCCGAAACTTGCACAAACTCTATAAATTTACTGCGCTCTTTTAATTTTTGAACCTAATTGGTATACACGGCTACAATCTTCTTTCATCTTCTATGGGTTAACTTGATGCTAATAAGCTAAAATGTAAACATGACGACACGATGAATCCACCTTTTCAGTCCCCACACAAAAAAACCTTTCACTAAACTATACGTTTAGTCTTCGACATAAAAAGTGCGAAAAATGGCTTAATTAACTGCAGGTCTTTACAAAGACGTTTCGTATGTCATTTTTGGAACTTCATGAACTGAAATTTTGGTAAAGATGGATTCTTTCTCGCTTTCTCCAGTCTGGGTTTGTTTTTCGCTCTTGTTTCCAGGTGTTTCCTCATAATCAGAATTCCTTTCACCCGTCAGGGGTTTATCTTCTCCCAAACTAAAGTTTATAGCACCAGTATCTTGGAAAGAGGATGAAATTGACGGCATGTTCACTTTTCCTGTTTGCATGTGGTTCTTAAAAACATCCCTTTCAGCAAATCCACGTACTTCTCCTTGCAGGTCATTCAGAGGCAGCAGCAAGGCCAGACAGCAAGAGAAAGACCATTTGGGTTTCTTGAGCCATTCTTTTATAAAGCGATAGATGAATACAATATACTGAAAAGCAAAGAAACAATAGTCATAGTTACGTATATTTAGGACTGTCTGAAGTCACCTCTTTCTTTCAAGAACACCTTCTTAAAACATATACGCGTTGACTTGACGTTTTATGAGGCGGAGTCTTCTATTGTACTGTCTTAACTTTCTCTATGAATATGTTAGCTCTAATGTCAAGTCTTGTAGATTACTTACTCACTGACTGACTGACTTACGGAGCAATACTTACATACATAAGCACTTACTTACATACTTTTAATTAATACTTATAACAATTACAGTTAGAATGGCAATTGAAGCTTAACCGATTTACATCGTGAACTAAATTTTGGCCGAAAACCAAAAGCAAGCACTGAGCTGGCATCGCCCTACTTGTGATTGGGGGGCTTAAGCAACGACGACTAGTCGACGACGACGGCAGAGACGACGTTGCTAAGAAAAATAATTTATGTCCTTTCAAAATTTGTCGCGTCTATTTGGATCCCCTCAATTTGTCAAATGTAGGCAACGTTTCTGGTTATTTTTTTTTTTGACGTTGTTGTGTTCGTCGTCGTGGTTGCTTAGGCCTCCTGTTCACGTTTCATTTGAATTGTAAATATCATCCCCGAAGAATAATTAATATATGCAAATGAGTTTATAGAATAGGAAATACTGGTACATTTTGTCCTATTCACTTCACTTTGCCGACACGAAGGGCCATTGGCGACTGAGTGAGTAAGTCGGGTTCCAGATTACCTAAATTCAATTCAGTCTATCTTGGGCTTGTCCCAGGTAAGATTGATTCCCCATACCTTACTATAATTAGTAACAATACCCAGGTATGAATATTATACTATTGAAGGGTAAATTAATAACCGAAGTGGATTTACACTTAACTTACCTACGAGAAGACCGATTACCAAAGAATTTGCTCCAAACACCAGTAACTTAAACATGATGTTATCCACATATGGATCGATTGAGGCAGGAATGTTCTCGCTGTTAATTTTACTCACAGCTCCTATTCCCAAGTTTACAAAGGTCACAGCAAGAGATATCAGCATTAGTCTGTTCTCGAATGGGTCCACAGTGGGGCTGACATAGGCAAAAAACATTCCATAGAGTCCTGACATGACGCACGCCAGTCCGACATATGCCCTGCTTTCACCACCAACCAGGATGAGACCTGACGTGAGGATCAACTTCCTTACTGTGTCGACCAGCTCCCAGTACCACGAGCGCGGGTGGTAGTTTTCGAAAAGGAATCGCAAGCCTGTGCTGACTTCGCTGCTTTTCACTTCGATATCAGGATTTTGATGCTCGTCTTCCATTTCATTCTGACTTGTAACGGTCAATCGCGCTTTCCAGAGAGCTATAAGTGATGCTGTGGGAAAAAGTAGTATGTAAGCGACTGCAATGTAGGCAACGATGACTGATCGACTGTAGTCTGTACTCTCACAGTCGATACTGTAGTCAGTCTTAAGAAACGTTTGACAGTGGGTTTTCGTTTTGTCCGAACAAAGCAGACGGCAAGTTGGGGGAAGCACACTAGCTGTTTTGGAGCAGGTACTGAGATATGTCACGTACAGGAAGAAAAACAGGTTTCTCAAGATCAGCTCTTTCGTTTGAGAAGATTTATTTAACTTTTCTTCTTTGGAGGAAGCACTCCGTTGGAGTAGAAGCTTTCGTAAACAATAAACGAGAATCGCAACAATGATGGCTGTGGCATTCATTGCAAGGACTGCAAACAAGCTCTTAAAAGCATTGACCTTCAATTCAGGAAAGATGCAATGAAGAGGGGCAATCTGAAATACATTAAGCTGTATCATCTCCGAATATTTTCCAATGGCAGAAAGAGAATCTGGCCATTTAATATAGGAAAATGTCTCTAGCAGTCCATCAGTGACTTGGTAAAAGCCAATGACAATTTTCAGCCTTCCAAGTATCATATCCACTAAGGATCTTCCTTTTTTCTCCTTCTTTTGCTTCCTTTTACTTGACCACAGTATGACTAAAATAATGACCAGGATAACTGCCACCACGATCGGCAGTTGTCCGATCATCCATTTCTTTGTTGGACACTTTTTTCACGTTTGAAACTGTTTATAGTAGCCATGACTACAATTTTCACACAGCGGTCGTTGATAGCCGTCAGCGCAAGAAGAATTGAAACCGCCATAGCAAGCCTCTTGTTGTGGACATTTGTGCGGCGTAGGAACAGTGTATGGGAACTCGATGAGGGAAGCATTAGTTGAGGAAGAGTTCCTTGAATCCAAGAGATTACGTGCAAATGATTGATAAAATTGTTTGTGGGTCTGATTCTCCCATTTCCACCAGTAACCCTTCTTCAGCTTGACATCGTCATCCACACATCGTAATCCTTCTTCATCGCATTGTGTGCAGCCTTCAAAAAGATGGGTACGATGAAATCCTTTCAAACAGCTGCAAGTTCTAAACCCAGCAAATGTGGAAGTATCTGTGCCTACAAAAAGCAAAAGTCCGTCAGCTGAATTAATTGTATTTCAATCACGTAAATAATTGGCTTTTTTGCATTTTTTAAAAAACACATAAATAAAGTTTGAAAGCTTGCGGGTTTTGACAGTTGTAGGCTTCATTCTCAAATGGGTTTAAATACAACAAAGCTACTTCATAAGAAAGTTTCACCGCCTTGAATTACAAGGACATACGATAATTGACGGCATTGCCATGCCGAGCAAACAAACAAAGTAGAGGCAAAGTCCTATGGATCTGTGTCTAAATAAATTCTCAACTCAAAACCAATATATATATATATATATATCCTTATGCATGTTTACGCCAGACTAGCAAATGTTACCACCAAGGTACGTTTTGAAATTTTAAAAGTTACAGAATTTTTCATAAATGAATTCCAATGAGAGTAAAGTTGAAAAGAATTCCCACGCTCATTAATTGAAAGTGAGAAGAAGTTTGCTTAGAAACGAGGCTTGGTGGTGAAATTTGCTCGTCTCGTCTAATGAAGCATAAGTGCCATTGCCAAAGCAGAGAATATTGTTTCTCTCCACCTTTATTTTTTGACCAGTTTTATCTGCACTTCACTACTGACGTCAACAGATACTTCGAACAGGGTAACAGGGATAACGCAGTTTCTGTACGCTTTTTACATTTCATCTTCTAACTAGGTCGTGAGTTTGATTCTCACCTGGAGCTCGGAAAATTTTTCTGAGCTTTCTGGTGTTTGAATTCTCCTTCTTCTTAAATTCCCATTTACAATCAAACCAGGTCAAGCGTACCACAATAGATTTTAATGATGAATTCATATACAACTTATTAACCGAGAGTGAGGTCATTACAGGAAAATCCCTGTAATGACCGAACGGACGAGGTTAATAAGTGGTCATTTAGCGCTCTAAATGTATAACACCGCAAGTAATTGAGCCTGCGATCAATTTAAGCAATAACTGGTCGGTACATAACTTTCAAAAAACAAGTCACTTTAATGAGTTGTACACTTGAGTCCGCGATACAAACATGTGACACTGGTCAGCAGATACCCTTTTTCACAGCTTTCACTTGACCATAACATGGATGTCCACTATCAAGTTAAACACAGATTGTATATGCCTTGGACACCTAGGGCTAGCGAATAATGCCCGGTCATTACGAGAAACTTTTGCCAGCTTAGCAGCCAATCAGAACACTCGTACTTTTGTAGCCATATAATAATTGACATTTTGAATTCTTGTGGTGATTCTTATCATTCTTAGGCCCAGTTCATACGTCGTGCTTCTGCCGTGCCGAACTAAATTCAGGAATTAAGTTCGGCAAAAGCACGGCGGAAGCACGGCGTCTCAATCAAACTTTTGAATTAAGTTCGGCGAGCAATTAAGTTCGACAAGCGCTGCCCTGCTACACGGCTCTGGCACGGCAGCGATTCAAACGTCGTGCTTCTGCCGCGCTAAACAAAATTTGTAAATTATACTATGTATTTTGGCGAGATTGCGTTCCCACGGGGAGTTGAGAGAAGAATTGTTACGAGGCATCAGTAAATCCTGAATTTGGTTCGACTCTGGCACCACGTCTGAATCAAAGTTGTTTTCCTGCCGTGCTACAGTCGAACCAAATTACAATCAAGTTCGGCACGGCAGAAGCACGACGTCTGAACTGGGTCTTACTAGTATCCAATGAGCAGTAAAATCACCAGCAGATAGTTAAAATTAAGAACGAAGGACATTGGCTATGCGTATTTTTAGGAATTAGTGTAATGATGTAAACTAAATTCTGCTGGGTGTCTAATGGTGCTGCGTAATGTATTGTTGGTTCGCTTGTGTGTCGTTGTGAGGGTATTTTTCGGTGGTGTAGTCTTTTTTATTAAAAATTGAATCATTGGATAATGCAATACTCTAGCTCTGGTTGGCTTAGCCATCATGGTATATGAGCCATTATACCATGCTCTCCATATATGGTAACTGTACGCGTCTGCTCAAAGTTAAAAACAAGCTGAGAATCGGTTGTTTTTTACAAATAAAGTCGAGAAGAATTCTCGATATTTTGTGGGCGTTTGTAATAAAACAATTATTCCACTCGCGCGGCTTGTTGGATATGAAATGGTAAATAATTGTCAAGTATCACCGGGTGGATCATTATACGTTGCCCACCTACCCCTCCCCTCAGCAAACATTTTGCTTTAAGTGAGAAGTAAGTGTTGATGTTGGCTTAGGGGAGGGGTAGGTGGGCAGTTTCCCAGAAACGTATAATGATCCAACGTCATTCAGTGATTGTACCCATCCACAGACGACTTGTGGACGCAAAATTCTTTTTCACGAATATGCTGCAAAACTAATCAATCCTGAAAATCTCTTGCTTCCTCACGAAATTCTTACTTTGGCACAGGACCGGAAAGGTTGACTGTTAGCACCACTGGCAACCCCCATGAGCGCCTCAGACGCGCAGAGAGAGACCCATCCACAACATCAAGAAACCTCGTATTTTGTTTTAACTTTTTACTTAGTGTTAGCAGCTCCAAAGGCTGATACAGACACCAAAATAAATGTTGATGTTCCTAGTGAAAAAGAGGATCCTGAGAAGGACAGGGAAGGCAAAGAAAATAATGATAATAAATCTTACGAAACAGAGCCGATGGATGTTCAAGAAACTGGAGAAAAGTCTTCTGAAGATGGCAAGGATGGCGAACAAAAGAAGCCAGTGTTTGAAGCGGAGGAGAAAGACGATGATAAAACTGATGACACAGCAGATAAGAAAAATGATAAGTCAGGAAAAGGTGACGAAAAAGAGGAAAAGGACACGACAAAGGAAACAGAGAGTGGTGAGAGTGAAAGTGTAGAGCAAGGTGACGTGGTTGATAAAAAGGATTAATGAAGGAAAAAGGGAAGTTGAGTCAGTTGAAAATTCTTTTCATGAGGCTGACGGTAAGAGGGATTCTGATCAAACAGAAAAAGCGCCAAAAGAGAAAAGCGGAGAGAGCCAGAAAAAAGAAGAAGAGTTAGAAACCGATAACACTAATGATAAACCCTCACAGAAAATAGACTGATCAAAAGGAGGGCAAACCGGCTGGAGATGCTGTAGAATCAGATAAAAAGGCAACTGACAATACAGCAGAAAAGACCGAATCGCCTGCGAAAACAGATCAGGCCCCTATTAAAACTGATCCGGTAGCAGTCCCTAAACAGGAGAAATCTACTGTGAAATCGGCTGGACTGAGTAAGCCTGCAAGTGCAGCTAATGAACAGCAGTGGTTCATGTTTAACATTGCCGACGGTGGATTTACTGAGCTGCATACTCTGTTGGAAGTGGAGGAGAAAAGGAAGTGCGATGATATCTGGTGGAGATGCCATGATTACTGGCTTCTGGCTGGAGTTGTTATGTATCCTGAACACAGTTATTGAAGTAGTTGCTGTATTATTTCCTTTATTCTTTCCCATCCCATTTTGTGGTCTAAGTTTTGTATTGGGTATCCAGATTTAAAATGTTTGTCGAGTCTAACTACATGGCATTTGATCATTGACATCTAAGTGTTTGTCCGCTACTTGCCATTCGAGGTGTTTTACTAAAGAGTTTAAGCTTCAAGTATGCAGCAAACGGCAAACGTCAGATTCAAGTTGAGAATTTCTCAAAATAGAAAATGAGTAGATAAAAGCAGGTCAAGTATAATACTTATGGATGAAAAATTGCGTGAAACACTAATTTTTGTGTAGAAATAATTAACAGTAAACCACAAGTAAAGGGAAAACTTGGTCACGTGGTACAAATTCGCGTTTGCCGTTTGGCGTAAACGTGATGCTTTTAACCTCTCTACTTATGGATCTCTGTCGAGGGGGGATAGAAGAGAACGTTCTTTCAGGCGCGTCTTAGAAATTTTCATTCTGCGGAATTTAAAGTATCCTGTACCCATTCCTTCCACATAGCTCTGCAGTGTGTGAACGGTCAAGATTTTAAAAAAAATCAGCTCTTTCCCTCGCCTAACCCTGGACCTGAAATAGCCTGGCCCCAGTTGTTCAAACGTTGGATAGCGCTATCCACCGGATGAATCAATTTTTAGCGGAAAAGTATTAGGGGAGCCAAATGCGCCAGCCAGTGCAAAGAGATTAATCCAGTGGATAGTCCTATCCATCTTTTGAACAACTGGCGTCTGATTGAAGGGTATGTGCTGTTTGGACTTATTTGTTTTGTAATTGGTTGTTTGTCTACCCTCGAAGCACTTAGGAGTTCTTAAGAACTCGTTAAAACGTGTCCGTGCGTTCCAAATCGAATTCAAACTTGGAAGTGTTGGTTTTTACGGAGAGGAGAAAACCGGAGCACCCGGAGAAAAACCTGTCGGAACAAGGGAGAGAACCAACAACGAACTCAACTCACATATGACGTTGACTCCAGAATTCAAACCTGGGCCACATTAGTGGCACTCGGGTGCTCTCACCACTGCGCGCGCGTCAGCCTTGTTCCTCAGCTGACAATAGCCTACGTTCGATATATCAACTCCAATGTTTTTTGGTTTGGTTTTCTTTGTGGTTAGGTCTCCTTTGGGAATTACCAGACAATAACATCGTAAACATTTTGCTTTTTTTTTTCGGAAAGCCTCTTAGTCATATTAGAATTCCGATATATCGAACGTTGGCTCTTCAGTAGAAGGTGCAGTTTAGTAGAGCGGAAAACAAAAAAATGCTGAAGAAAATCCAGCGGAGACAAAGTCATTTTATCTAAAACTACAACCATCCGAACTGCGACTTAAAATTTTAATTGCCTTATAATAGAGTATTTTATAAAATTTCTCTACTTTTGTGAGATTGCGAAAATTGGTGGCAATAGGGTATTTTGTTTCTCCTTGACATTCTCTCTCTTTCAGTCACGGTTATGGCAGGTGGTAGGATATCGCTAATGATCGCAAGTTTGAGGTGGTCAATGATCCGTTCAAAAATGGTAAGTTGTTGGAGCAGCGTCTGTAATGAAATTAGCAGCCAAGAGTTATCAAAACTCGCGTGCCTTTAATTTTACGCGGTAAGGTGCAGGGCTGTCACTAAGAGCCGGGGGCCGGGGACTCCTCCCGGCTGTTATGAACGTGGCCCCCGGCTAGTCGCATAGGAAAATAGAAGAAAAATAGAACCAAATGAAATCCCTAGCTGTTTAATTCCTTGCCTACTAATTATTGTATTTACCCGGCAACTTGAAATCTTAGTCACATCCCTGAAGGTGTGCTGGTAATAGCTAAGGAATGGACTTGCAGCAAGTCGACTGCGTTAGTGCCGAAGGCGCGAGCGAAGCAAGCGAACGAGAGCGGCGAATCGCGAGACGAGCAATGTAAGTTAAGAAACAAGTCGACTGCGTGATTGCCGAAGGCGCGAGGGGACGCGCGAGCGTCGTACCTTGAGAAATTCTGAGGTAAGGAACAGTCAGTGAGAGACATCAGAATAATTAGGGCGCACGTTAACCAGTTTCAAATCAGACCACGCTAACATTACCACTAAAACAAGTGCTTATCAACCCAGTCCAGACTTCTTTTGCTTATCTTATACCTTGGTTTGTTTCTATTGCAGTCTCTCTGGAGTACAAGAACCGCTTTATTGCGCGACGCTTTAAGGTTTGTTCCGCTGATATTGTTCCCAATTTTGTGTTTAGACATCAAATAGGTTTTCATCTTAAATTTCTTTGGGTTTCAGGAATAAATGACCAGTGACTGTGTGATATTAAATACCTGTACCTCATTAACAAAGATTGCTTTGGCAATTGGTCATAGGCAATTAAGTATTGATCACTGGGGCATACGGAACTCGCTGCAATGATTTGCTTGAGGTACCGACAAACAATAGCTTCCTAATGCCTAATGCCCAAAGCAACCTTTCTTGCGTCAGGGATATCCCCAAATCCTCAGTCTTAAGTCTGAGTTTTGAACCATCAAATTTAGCCCCCTTCCAGTGGTATTTCTACATTGTTTCCCCCTGTACATCTTTTTTATGCTAATTCAAGCACTGGTATGGTCATAATTGAAACTAGAAATTCAGCTAAGGAATTAGAAACCTAAATTAAGCTCTTAGACTGGTTCGACAGAAGAAGACAGTGCGCACACTTAGTAATACCGTCACAGTCCACAGCATGTTCATTGACGTTATTGTAGCGCACTAGTGTGCTTTTCATGTGTTGGCATAGTTCACGCCTTGTGTTGGTTTGAGCATCTCGCAATTGATCTCCGTGAATGGCACCCTTGTGAATTATGTGCTGTTTTGTTTTGAGTTGTTAGAACAAGCGCTTGTAATAGAAGAACATCTGAGACGAGCCGATACCATGAAACTCAGGCAAGATGCCAACCACCCTGCCATGGCTTTAAATGCAAGGTAAAATATCAAACCAATCTGCAGGAACGGTGTTAGTACCTTTTTTGAGAACTGAGATACGATGTGCAGTCATTTTTTGTGTTTGTTCGATAGATTTGCGGAACTGGAGTGCTTAGCGGAAAGTCACCAGCATTTGTCCAAGGAGTCGTTAGCAGGAAACAAACTTGCCAATGCTGTACTTCATAAAGGTAATCTTTCACACAGAACGTTTAGTAGCTTATGGCTTCAATAGCCTGTGAACAGGCTGTCTATAAGGGGAGGGTGGAAAAAATGAGGACCATTAGAGGTACTTCTTGCTACACACGTTAAAGCGTTTGTACCTATTCATCACAATTAAAGTAGCCTTTCATCGCTCCCCTCTTTTGGACGTTTTGTGAGAAAAACTAAAAAATGTTAGGCCTGGTTTTAAACCTTTCTTATGAAAATGAATTTTATCTGCCTTTTACTCGTGGTGATAAAAACTTCATTTAACATAGTGACCCTGTTGTATGATTAAAAGACAAAAAATCACTATATCACTAGTCCTCAGTTGTTCAAAAGCTGTATAGGGACCTATAGCGCTATCGACTTAATCAGCTGGAGGAGTTACTATCAGACATGAAGTCGGACGTCAATCGTCTTCCTTCGACACTAGTCCGAATGCCTCCCGTCACTGCTCGGCTTAACATGTCGGAGAGAGGAATCCTCAGCCGTCTAACGAAACGTGGTGAGGGACCACCACCTAATGTCACCATACCTGGAAACACCATCCAGCCCCCTTCCATTCCAGGAATGGGTTCAGTTGCTATCCAGCCAAAGGTCCAGCCCTTAGTGTTGGGCGGTGGCACTATCATGCCCCCTGTACAAATCAGAGCTGGACCCCTTCACTACACTACAAGCTCTGTGTACCGCGCTCCACCCGTGACAGGCAGCAATGCAACCATCACAGTCCAGCCGCCTCCACCAACTACTCTATTGCTTTCGGCCTCCACTGCTAGGCCCCTCAGGAGGAACCCAGCCAGTCGCATACTGTGAAAACTGGGGATACCACTAAGGACAAAGATCCTGATGTGATTTGTTTGGACTAACTTTAATGCTGTCCTAGGAAAACCGAAAAACTTGCTTGACTGGTTCTAGTCATAGTTCCTGTACGTTAAAAACGTGCTGCATGACACGTGAGCTTGATTACCTTAGAACCGAACATTTTTAGCAAGTCCTGTCAACCAAGTCAAAATTATCCAAATAATCGGTCATCTGTACAGTTATAAAATATTTTATTGCTGTTGGTTTGAATATTCGATGTGAACCAAATCTTTTTCTTTTTTCGTCTGTGGGAGAGAGAGGCTGAGATGAAATTGTAAAGCTGATGTAACTTATGTGGAGTTTAGCTAATATATGAGCAACAAATAAACACCCACTTTTTAGGAAAGAAATATCTTTGCTCTTGAGTTCTCTCATTTGCCAAGAGCAAGTGTATCCGTATTTTTTTTTGTTGAATCAGAAATTTCGTTCGAAAAAGCGGAATACTGTTTCTGTCTTAATTCATACACATTCAATAATATAACTGTTTTTCGCGTTGTGAACGTCTCGATAAACCCTTAACAGAAGGACGTAATTTTTCTTTCCTAGTATGGACACTACATAACTCAAAGTTAACTATTTTTTTGTGTCTCAAGGGAGTTGGCGTCTGTCCCCATCCAGTCCTTTGAAAACTGTGAATCACCGCTGATTTTTTGCAATCTCGCCGGAGTTAAACCACTATGGCAGCCAAAACGTCTTTTTTAAGAGCGAGTCTCTTGTAATAACGGACCAGTGATTTTCGATCAAAAAAATTTAAATCTCTTATATTCTAAGATTTTATTTTTCGGTAATTACACAATGCATTTCGACGAACAACCAATGAGCCGCAAAATTATAGAAAATGGCCATGAAGTGAGCCCAGGTTGCACAGATAAAGCATTAAAAAAATCCAGTTTAAGGTAAGCCGAGTTTATTTCTACATCTATGCCTATATTTAATATTTTGACAGCTATACCAAGTGATTCACTCGTTCGTAACAGGTACAGTATCAAAACATGCATTAAATTTAATATGCACCGAGCTTGGGTTAAAAGTGCCATTTGGATTATACAGGAAAAACGGCGTTCGGCCTAAACTTCTACGGAGACTGTCACATGCAGCCCGCGTAACAAGTAAGTTGACATTTTGCTTATTTAACTCTAATCTAAATAATTATTGCCATAAACAAATAAATGAAGGTGTTAAATTGTATCATATTTGTGACCCTCTTGAACGTCTGTTTGCTGAATCGACCCCAGTTGCCCCTCAGTCTCCTATGGAGCGTTTCCAAAGGACGTCAAGGCGGCCATGCAATGAAATGGTGGCCATGTTGGTGTTACAAACAAAATCCTGTGGGCGATTTGAACTCTTTTCTTATGTAAACACTTTCTTTTGTTCCGTCGTTGTTCCTTGAGCGCCCTGATATAAACGAGTGAAGCGCGGTCAAGGGAAGCAACCATCCCATGGTCCTCTTCGTACCGGATGCCGTAATAGTCTCCCGCAACCGTTCCTTGGCCCCTTACAAATAATAAGAGACGACTGGAGACGAGTAAGGTCTGTTTGGTCGACTCGTGTTAAGGCACCCCTCGGCTACGCCCATTTAGCTAAAACACGCTCCGTTCTCCAAATTTGCGCCCACCCCCCGTCGGTAAATCTTCCAAATAAGCAGTCTATCTCTAATAAACGCTCTGCCCTCCTACTGCCCCTCACTTTGCCATATGTTAAGGATTTCCCATCCTTTGTTAATTCAATCTTCTTAGTATCTTTTCAGGAAGTGTCGGTAGTGTGGGCGCGCGATATTAATGAGCGCGCGCTCACAAGTTAAAACAAGCAAAACAACTGAAGTTAAATAGCGATGTTGCGCAGTTTACAACCCACTTTCAAACCTGTTAACAACCTGATTTGTTGCAAGACTGGTTTGATGTGGGTGGCAAAACGCGCAACATCGCTATTCAACTTGTTGTACAGCAATGTTGCAAGACAAGTTGCACGTTTTTTTGCCTGCTTTTACTCACCTTTACTTATTTAATTGACGTGTGCATTTAGTTCGCTATTGAACGCATTAGATTTGCTTTGGGCTGTTTTCCTACTCATACACATTGTCGGTAATTGTGCTCACATTGTGGGTGACCCCTCGTAAAATGTTCTACAATAATTGGTATGCAGGAGTTAATGGAACCGAAACCAATTGTGGAATTGCACACATTTTGGCATTTTACTGAAGAACAGTTACGACTTATAGATGTTTCAAGTGACCACAATTTGCCGTCTGCCCTCTTAGAATTTCCTTCCTCCCCTTTAGTTAATAACACATATAACCCTTAAAGCCCCAATATCCACATTCAAATTATCTGTACTGATCTCAATACATTTTCTTAAAAAATTAGCTGTGATAATTTGATACAAGATCAACGCATTTTCCAACTAGTGGTCATGGAGTTAATTCTCATGATCATTTCTTTCCGTTCTGTTTCGATGTTTTAGAAGAAAATTGATGTTGATCACTTCTGGGACCTAAAGGGTGGAATCTTACAGATTTTGAGAGATGTTGAGGAACACAAGAAGTTGAGTTGAACGCGGTTTATTTGCCTCCTTACAGCTCGTAGAAATCTACTAGTTGAGTCTTTAGATGAGATCCTTAAGTGAATCAAGTTTAGCTTACAAAGCGGTTGTATTTATACTGAACAATAAAGTTAATTGGTTTTTAGCTAGACTACATAGTATTCATATGCAGAAAGTAGGCGTTAAGGCAAGGCCGATTTACACGGCACAATTTTTGCTTACGACTATCGTGCGCGACTAGCATACGTCATGACTTCACGACAGATCGTGTTGTGTTAATGCACACGAAATTCGTACGACACATTTGGATGTCATAGGTGAAAATTGTGCGCGTGTGGATGGTCAAAAGTGATGACGTATACTAGTCGCGCACGATATTCGTAAGCAAAAATCGTACCGTCTAAATCGGCCTTTAGGAGGTGCTACATCTGATAGCACAAAAGAAACCAAAATTTAGTTGAATTCAGCTGCGCGTGGAAAAATTGGCAAAATTGGAAATACCGTAAAATTCCGAAAATGAGCCCCTCCATGTATAAGCCCCTCCAAATATAAGCCCCCCAAAATCGTGACGCAAAAAACCCTCCGTTAAATCGCCCCTCCGAATATAAGCCCCCCGGGGGGCTTGTACTTGGAATTTGCCCTCCAATACAAAGTAAAACAAAGCAAAAAAAGTAATTTCCGTGCCACTACAAGCTAGCCCAATCGATTTTGAAACGCAAATTTCCCTCCGTGCATAAGCCCCTCCGAATATAGGCCCCTCCAAAAATAAGCCCCTCAAAAAGGGCCTTTGAAAAATATAAGCCCCGGGGCTTATTTTCGGAAGTTTACGGTATCTCTAAAACCAAATTCCTATACAAGAAACTAAAACAATGGTTTGAAAGAAACCTAATTTTCCTAAGGTTCCGTCGAAAGAAAGTCTAGTTTGAAATTAGGAAAGTAAGTGAAATTTAGCTGAAAATGGCCCAGCTGAGAACAGAGAACTCAAAAGGTGTTGGGTCGCGTGGCACTAAGCTACATGTAATGAGGTATGCAAGGCTGATTATTATTCCAGTTTGAAAGCAAAAGTGAGAACTAATTTCAGTTTTAAGCAAACGGACTTGATTCAGCAAATTGCTTATTTTCCTTTCCACAGCTGAAAACACCTACTAAGCAAAGTAATTATTTCTATCTAACGAACTCGTTTTTGTGTTTGCGAAATAAGCTTGAAGAGTTGTTTCTTAAAGTTAATTAAAACTTGACTAAATGTATCAAAGTCAGCCTACAAGCCAAATTTGAGCAAATATCAAACCAAACCGTCCAACTACTGTTTTTAAAATAACTTGAAACCCAAACACCAAAATAGAATAAAAGGTCGGTGCAAAACTCCATGTCTAGGAATTCCGATCTTTTGGCTGCAATGCGCGCAGCGGGAAGTGGACAAAAGCATGCCATCTGTTGGCTCACAATTAGAGGCACGTAACCATGTGATCTTGACAAAGAGTAATGGTATCATGTAAATACATATTAAAACCGACCTGAAAAGTACGACTAAGGAGGTTTATATATGTGAATTATATAGGATATTCCAACACCAAGGATATATATATGGTTAAAATATGATATGTGAGAGGAGAGCCGACAAGAAAATTTAATCGTTTGTTCGTTTGTTTTGCGGTAATTCATAGCTAATTACGCAAAAAAAGTACGATGCTTTTAATCGCAGAATCTGTTTCTAGGAATAACTTTCTTTCTCTGTTGTCGGTACTTTCCTCAATAATAAACACAGCGAGCGAAATATTATTTTAAGCAAGCAAAACCGAAATAAAAGATAAATACTGAATTAAATGTAAGTTGAGCTACGATGAAAAGGCGACAGCAAAAGGCCTCCGAACGTGTGAGCTTAAACGTTTTTGGACTTCACGGTGTCACATAAACTGCTCATATTCAATCTATTGTTTTAAAATTGATAAGGTCGGTTTGCTTTGACTATCGCCTTGAAGTAGCCAATGGTTTTATGAGTAAATATGTTTGTATTTTTTTGTGGTTTTCATTTTTAAATTTTTGTAGTTATTTTATTTTGTTTTTTAAGCCCCTCAAATTTCAACTTGAAAAAATATGGCCAATAAAGAGGCGGCTTAGTAATAATAAGGTACAGAATAAAACTCCTGATAAATAGTTGATGGAATTGACGATAGCCTCAAAGCCATCTAAAACATGACAAAAACACGAGACAAGGCTTACGTTATTTTGAATGGCTATAGTAGGACCCCAGTTTAACTCGAAATCGGATTACTCGAACTACGACCTATTTCCCTAGGATTCGATCCTACTTTTCACGTTTACTCGGATAACTCGAATTCCCCGCT